TTCGACCGACTAATGGTACAACTACTTATACAAGTACCGACTACGCACGGACCATCGTGTCTATGTGGTCGTGTTAGTGAAGAAAGAAACGTAGTGGTACGATACCAGGCACGAAGTGCGCACGGACCCCATTATGTAAGCTACATAATGTTCAACCTGCGGGTGAGCGCTAAGACAGGCGCCAGTATGGGCGCTAGTAGTACAAGGAATAGAACGGAAAGACAAATGTTTCATTACCCCCCTACCAGAGTCGAAGTCCCATTCGACTACTTACTGCTCACCATCTCCATACAACTCCCAATCTACGCCGTCGTCCTCCTCTTCGTCGAACCACTCCTTGCGCGCGTTCCTCCCTACGTTCATCCATTCCTCGCCAGAGAGGTGCTTCTGATTCGGCCAGGAGCTGTCCCACGTCCATTGAGTGGTGTCCGGTGTCCAGTCGGGATCGACTTTGCGAAAGACGACGGGTGTATCGGGGCGGGGGCGCGAAGGTCCCGCGACGGGACTGGTTGGGGGTTCGGGGTTAGCGCTACACGGTGGAGGGATGGGTATCGCTTTCGTCTGCCTTTCTTTCTCCTTCCTCCCCTTCGCCTCGTTGATGATTCCTTCGAGGAACACGTTGTCGACGACCACCCCCACGCGTCGCGCAGGTTCTTCAGGTGGTGCGGATACGTGTCGCTTCATTGGCCTGGTTCCGCACTCTCGCTCCAGGTGTCCAGGGGCTTCTTTTCCGCATCCTGCGCATCGTACGTCTGGACAGTCCCGTACCCAGTGTCGAGACGATCCGCATCGCCTGCAGCTTCCCTTCGGGGTCCAACCAGGGTTGGGTTGCCAGTCAGCCGGGATGGTAGTGCTCCGTGGTGTTGCTTGGAGGAAAGGGGATGGGATCGGGGGGCGCCTGAAGGCAGACGTTGGTAGGGGTGCGGGTAGGGGTAAGTACGCGTTGGGGATGGCGCGCGGGATGAATTTGTTGTGTTGCGCCCGGATGCTGCGCGGTAGGAGCGGTTGAAAGCGATGGGCAACTTTCAGATTGTCGAGCCGGATGAGCTCAGTGAGGACGCGGTCATCCTGTTGGCGTAGGAGCCGCTTGTGGTGGTCGATGGCCTCGTCGGCTGCCTTGACAGCCTCGTCGTATTCGCGGCGGGCGGAGAGATACGCTTCTAGTGCGGCGCGGTCGGTGGCATTGGTTGCCTCGGGGTTGTGGGCTTTGAGCTTGTTGAAAACGTCGGTGGGATTACTGAGAAGGAGCGTCAGCAAGGTGCTGTCGCCAACGTGGGTGTGCTTAGGGGTGTAGATTGAGAGCCTTTTCCCGCCTTCGGTCGAGGGGGCGTTGAACTGGTCGAGGAACGAGAGGGTGGAAGACATGTTGGTGCGAGTGGGGATGTAGCGACT